GCATTCCCAATTTCTCCATAACATTGTTTATTAATTTTCAGTATTCACAATTTTTAGATCATATTTATATAGTATTTATATTCAAATAAACATATTCAATTTATCTAAATAAATATTAAAACAAAACACGGTGCACTCCACACAATAAATCCCGTAATGGCAAATTATAACCCCATGCCGAACCGATCAACTGGCGAAAACTATGAACCTATTGTCGACATATTGCCAGAGTCATCGAGCAATAATCAACAATTCATTCGATGACCGAGGCAATGATCGATGGGCGATTGTCCAAATAAGCTTCTACCGATAGGTCCAGGATTCTATTCATTGGTGCATCGGCAAGTCAGCCGCTAAAAACAGAATGTCGAAGGGGAGTTGGCGAATCGGGGGCGAGCCAAGTCTCTCTGTTTCGGAGGATATGCGCGGGTAAGGTAAGGCGCGGGCGACGATCGCATCATCGGGGCTCGGTCAAGGTGGTGGTGGGCGGGGCAGGAAAGCATGAATCAAGCAAGCTGGACGGGCGTTTCTAGGCGCGCGGGAAAGCGCCGCGTCGCCATCGCTTCTCTGTTATTACCGTCTTTCGGCCTCTCAGCTCCCCGCTGATGGCCGCGATGAGGAGACCCGCGGTTACGACAATGTAGCCTCCGCAAGTCGCTGTCGCAAGAGCAGCACCTGCGAACAGAGGAGCGAGTACTGAACGTTTGGGCTTCCATGCGCATCCCCGTAGAGGGGGGGGGGGAAGGATTGCAGTGGCTATCCGTGATCGGGGGAGTGGAGACGGATCGTTCGGGGCACTGGACGATTCTTGAAGTTGCGAATGTGTTGGTTGAAGACAAGGGATGAGGAGGGTAGAGAGAAAAACTGTTAAACTGTTTGGCTGTTGGGTTACAAGAGTTTTTTTTTTTTTTTTTTTTTTTTTTTTTGTAATATAGCGGCAGTCATTTATTTGCTTATAGAGTTGCGGATTCAATTAAGACTTTGATATTTGATTGATAATTGGCAGGAGCTAAAGGAGCGTTGGCTAAGCATAGATTTATAACGGGATAATTATTATTTATTCGTGGGAGAATTGTTTAAATTTTCATGGAAAATGTATTGAGTATGACTACGTACGGCACAATGATGAATCATTTAATATTTTTACGTAGACCGATTACTAATGTGATTTGTAATTTTTTTTTTTTTTAGTCTAGCAAGGAATTATAAATTTAAATTTCGACGAGACAGTTGGAAAAAATGTACAGAATTTGAAATTATTATTCTTGACATATTCAAACTTTGATTTGAATACGAAACTCTTTACCATATGATGAAAAATGAAAAATACCGGATATGGTTTTTCAAAATACATTTATTTCGACACTTTTGAGTATTTAAGTTATTATTCCATACGTCATAATCATTCTGTGTGAAAATGTCATAAAAGAAACTTTCGTTTTACTAATTATCAAAAGGGAAAATTTCGACATCGTATGTGGAAGTTTTTTTAAAATACAGGCATTTTCTCCCGTGTCGTATAATATTCAATTTATTTTATCTTACTTTTGGCTATTTGAATGAATATCAACGAACAATTATAGATAAACGTTTTCCGATTCCGACAACGAAACAGTTCAACTTCATAATACACGTATAAACTGAATTTTGTGAATAATAGACGATAGGTTATCTTTCAATAATTATTGTTGTTTGTAAAAAGTATTGCGTTCGTTACTTTAATATCACAAATTTGACGTTTATCGGTTTATCGTAATACAAACGTATTCTCTCGAAATGAGAATGAAGTAAGGAATTATTCGTGGATTACATTTAGTTTAAAGTAAAATTTACTCGAGAAAGATTTTGCTACCTTAACTGGATAATATTAATCTTAATGAATTATTAAAATGTTAATATCAATTCGTCTTGCCTCGTTATATGCTGCGTAAAAGCACTTTTCGCCTCATTTAATCAATGCTATTAAACAGAGATTAATTACCTATGATAGTCATTATTAGAAATTTTCCTCATATTTATTATTATCAAAAAATAAAAGAAAGAAAGAAAAATACAGAAAAAAAAACATTAAATGAAAATGTTTAGATTCTTAGATATCAAATGTATAACATGATTATGGTGACATACGAATAAAAGAATAACAAAGTATTAAATGTACAGAACAGTTATTTAAAAACTTACCGATGGAGCCCCAGGTAACATTGTTTAGAAGGGACCACTCGAGACTTCTATTACGCAAGTAATGGAAGACTCTTCTGCTCTCGTCGTCTGTCACCCTCAAAGCCACGACACATGCGATGCACAAAAGCTGATTAAAAAAGTTTAACGTTAATAATTATTTATCTAAATTCTATGTGAATGCGACGTGATGATTGCACGTTTAATATTAAGAATCTGGGAATGGAAAATGAATTTTGAATATTCAGGTATGAATCGTGCAAGTTTCACATTTGCAAAATAAGACAATACTGACTCATATCATTTTACTTTACATTAAATTCAGTTTTTGAAAAAATTACCCGCACAATTGCTACATAGCGCATTACAAATTATTAATATAGGAATCAGCAAACATCACTATTAACAACAATTGTGTAATAATTAAGATTTATTTCATATTATAATCTCAAGCGCTTGGAAAGACTTTCTTAAGACAAAAAACAAACAAACAAACAAACACAAACATACAAAATACGCTAAAAGCAATAGAAATCTTTTATTGCACATTTTTATTTGTACGCCAAGAAATGTATGTAATATGTAATTATTAAAAAAAAAATCTTATTTATTTATTTGCCAATTATGTGTGAAAGGAAGCCAGCAGAAATACATAATACAAAATTATTAATCACTCGTCTCCTGTGTAATGTTGTAGACAAAATTTTCAATGTGCTCACGACGTTATAAATGTCCGGGAAAATTGTATGTCCGCGAGTTAAAATTAACTTTTAATAATGTACGAAATGCATTAGCGTAAATAACCAGGACAATTAATTTCTGTTTACATTCGGTTACCGGCACCACTTACAAAGTCCTTGAGCGCGCGGCTAATGAATTAACCAAGTTAAATGCACTTTCCCACAATTAGTACGTGGCTTGGTAAGTAACTGTTTGGCTCTATGCAATCTTGAACACTTTTTAATAGCGATTGGAAGGTGAGAAAAGAAAACTTGAAAGCATTTTTTAGCGTCGGCGTGATGAAATTCGAGGCAATTTATGAAGTATACAAATGAATCAAGGATAATCGAAGGTGACGAGATTGTATGCCGTAGAGAAATTTTTGAAAATGCTGGACAACAGATTGTCATTTGTTAATTTATGTTTAAAAGTCGATTGAATTTTTCATAAAATATTATAAGCACAATATACGTTTGAAAAAAGCCATGAATTGACACGAGTAAAAGAAGATATCGCGTGTATTATCGCGTATATTAAGCGTCAATTTTTTAAAAGGGATGGTATCGTGGATGACGGGTGAGGGTGGCGGCGGGTGGGGGGGGGGGGGGGGATGATAAACCATTTGCCTATAAGATTTTATAATTACAAAATGTCAGTATGCACTCTGTGTCGATCTATCTACCGGGCGTAATTATTATTATTTATTTCAACGTTAATTTTACAAGTAATTATTTTACAACAGAATCGAATGTAATTTCAATTTCTTTCGTTAATTTAAATCATACGAATATTATTATGAAAAAAAGCTAAATCATCGATTGAATAACCATATGCAATGGCTAAACTCAAATATTTACATTTGATTTATTTATCTTTCGCCGTGGTGGCCGACTAATATGAATGGAAAAAAAAAACAAGTTTCACCGTATCATTTGCTCCTATGAAAACACAGCTCTCGTCAACATTAGTAACATCGCTTATTCATGTAAAATATAAAGTTCTAAGCTCTCCTCCTCTTAACTGCTTTTAACAAAAATACAGCATTTTTCTTCTTCTCGCTTTTCACCTTTCCCTTACAGACTAAAATAGTAAGCTCGTGCGCTAAATATAAATATTAGCCACTTACCAGCTCGATTATCCTGATAAGTACTTTTCGGTTCCACATGATTTCACAGCGAGAGCAGCCTGCGGGGGAATCCAATCAAAAGAAGGCCGACGGCAATTTTATGTAAAGAAAAGCAAACAGCACGCAACCATCGGCTCGTAGCTACTCGACTTTTTTACTTCCATCGGGGTATGCGATCGGACCAGGCATTTTTTCTTTCTTTCAAGGCGACACTCTTCAAATAAATAAACAATATTATATACTTTTCAACACACTTACATAAATACAAACATATCCTCTATTATATTCGTATTCATCTTCTTTAATAACGACAACTCAATGGGGTAACGAGTAAAAAAAAAAAAAAAAAAAAAAAAAAAATTAAAAAAAAAATATTTACGTTCTTTGAGAACTGAATTTATTTCTAATAAAGAGACAAACGTGTTGTATGTACAATGCATCGAGTGCAACCAGTTTTTGTTATTTCTCTCTCGCACGCTACAGTAATATGTGCGTTATTGTCCCCATTACGAACGGCGAACAACGTACGGGCGGATCAAAGTAATACATCAAAGCGGCTTTTACAAAAATTGTACGATAAATAAGGAGCGAAGTATACACCCCTCCCTGCCCTTCCCGCAGTCAACCACCACCACGGCTCCCCGTTCCAACAAACGCGATGATCGCTCGTCCTTAACGTCGATGCTAAGAGGGGAAGTCTTAAAAATTATGGGTGCGAAATAAACGCCGATCTCGTTAAGTGCCACGACAACGCCACGTGTAATTGTATTATCTCTCTCTTTCTCTCGAAATGCAAACTCCGACGCGTATTGAGAATCCCTTGGATACGTCCCCCTCTCGCGCCCCGCTACAGCCAAATAGATCCGCCAATCCCGGAAACATGAGCCTCCGCACAGCACGGGTGGCGTGATATTGAAATTACACAAACCACGGCCGATCGGCGCGCATTCGAATTACTTTCTCAGAGATGAGCTATCCGCTCGTGCTGGAGTGGACACGTCGACTCGGCCGCACGACCCACACGACCAGTCGACTTCGACTGAAGGAGGCGGCTGCCGCGTCAGGGAGATAAAGGCTCGACCGCCGCGCGGATTGTGTCACGTACCGACCCGTCGTTCCCCGCTGCTGTTGTTGCTGCTGCTACTTAGGTCTGCGCACACCTTCCTACAGCCCCGTAAAACAATGCCATTATCGTGCGACGACACGGACGCGAACGATGCGTGGGACACGGGGGCAGTCATGGGGGGAACCCTTACGTCTGCCTCGCGACGTTCGTTGCGCTTCGCAGTCGCTTTATTCTCTAATTGGGTTGGTAGTTGCTGTGCGCTGCTTTTCACTTTCGTTTGGCGGTCGCTGGCTTTTTGCCTTTTTCCCGCTCGCCCCCCGTAGACGACGTTTTTTTCTTCTTTTCTTTGTCGCTTCATGATTGTCGCGCACGCATGGGTCGTCGGTCGGACTACCGCTTCGCGTCCTCATCCCGCCCCGGCCCCACTAGGCCTCGCATTTTTACTATCCGTCATGGAGTTTTCTGCAGAACGAGCACGCGGTCTCGCGTTTTTTTCCTCGTTTCTGTTTTATTTTTGTAAATTGTCGCGAACCCTCTCGCGATGAGTCTCCCAATGATGATCCTTAATGACAATATATGATATTGGTTGGCTCGATCCTGTCCGTCGATGGGCCATGGCTCCTGGGTCTTCCCTTTCTTGCATCGTAAAAATAATGCTTGCACAACGTACACGTACCGCTGGGTTGGAAATTTCATTTTCCAACATCGACTCATCCACCACATCCCAAACGAAAAGGCTTACTGGTTTATTAATGCATTAGTTATTTGTTGTACTTGTTAACGACCGTTCGATTGCATTAGGGACAAATGGTCGAGCAACTAGCACGTTGGCATCGATCGCGAGAGCTTTCAACGCGTTGCAATGGATATGTCAACGATTGGCCTGTGAACATCACCAATGGATCACGGTCGATCGAAACGGGGGGAGAGACATTTGGAGATGAAATGTTTTCCGATGTTTGCCAAACGACTGCAACGATTGTTCGCAAAGCCATACACTGCTGCGAGACGAAGCGAGTCCTTAAATTAACGACGATAGCCCCTACGATAACGACAACGACAACGACAACGACACAGTAAAAGTCGTAACGTGAGGCGGCAGAGATAAAGATTTGTGATAAAATGGCAATTAATCGTCGAGGAGGGAAATGAATCAATCGGTGGCTAAAGGATAATTCACGCGCTTTTTCATGGGCCATCTGCTCTCGCTCGCACTTCTCGGTATCGAATAGAGCGAGTCGCGAGGCCCCTATTGCCGGGAGACGCGCGGGTCTCCTTTGTTTTTCCCTGAACGAGCGCGTGGACGCCGCGGTGGATGTTTACCCGCTCTAAGCGGCGACGGGGACCCGTCGGGGAGCGCTCGAGCCGACCCCCACTCGCCTGCCCCGCCAATGGACGAGCCGTGGACAGACGGCGTTCAGCGGCGAATCCCGGGCGCCGAGAATCTTCGAGATCCGTCACCCTCCCGTTCGCGGTATTCCGGGAAGGTCGATTGCGCGAGAAACAAATTCGGACGGTGCGCAAGAAGGCGTAAGAAGGAGCAGCTCCGCGGCCGGTGGCCAGCGCGAGTCGGGGGCTCGGCCCGACCGCTCCGCCGTCTAGTTTAGCCCGGGCAGTTTCGTTGGTGGCGAGGTCGCGACCTCCTCGCGCTCGCATTCCATCGCGCCGCGGGCCCTTTCGTCGGCCCCTTCGTCCACCACCTTCCCATACACTATAGCCTAGGCTTCCCAATTATCCGGACCGCGACGCACCAACAAACGACCGACCGCGGGGGCGAGGATGAGTTTTCAGTGGAACACGAACGCGAGTTCCGAGCGGCTCTTCGACATAAAGGACAAGCTGGAGAGGATGACGGTGGAGGAGAAGGTGCCGAAATTGTTTCGAAGGATGTATACCAAGAAGCACATGGGTATTTTCAACAATTTGCTGACTGGCTAATTAGTCGGCAGCATGCATGTTCGGGCTCCCCGGTCATCGGCTTCTCTCACCCTCTCCAATCCGCCCCGCTGCCCTCCTTTCCCATCAACCTCGTCGTCGTCGACTCGTGAATGCAATTTCATAGGAGATGGAAAGCACGCGCGGCCATTAGACCTTATAAGCTAGCACTTGCGCTGGTCTCTTCGATAATCGACGATTTTCTTCGTTGCACGAGTCGCGCGACTCTCGCGGTCCTTGCGGATTCATCCTTCAAGTATTTTCCATTTCCGTCGGGACTGTTTTGTTTCGCACTCGGATTAATAAAACAATGTCGAACGATGAGCCGAGACTAGAGCTTCGCGGATAATCACGCTAATTAATTTTGTTTGCGTTTCGCGATGTTAACGACGATCAACGGCGCGGCAGTTTGAACTTGGTTCGGTTATCCGTGCGAGCCGTCCGTCTCTTTACCTAATCACAAACAAAATCAAAAGCATTATGGGAACGGTTTGACTATCCATTCTCGTATCGTTTATGTATCGTTTATCGTATCCAACCTCGTGCAACCTCTAATGCTTATACTTTCGCAGACCCCCCACCCCCTCATACACTCAACCACCAAATCGCCCGACCGGCAATGCAACTTTTCGATTTGCGCGACGATATCGTTGATTAAATGCGCGCATACGATGATTGGACGAACGAGATAATTTTTCTATTATAGTTGCATCGTTCGTCGGTCCATAAAAATTTTTGTTCACTTCACCGTGTGGTTCGCAATCGTAAGAATCGTTAAATTAATGGAGTCTCGATGATGTGATATGCGCTCGTTTTCGTCATACGTTGCTTAAACTCACTGCTTTAATATCTTTGTTTAAAAGAGAATTTTTTGTCCATTAATGCGCCGCCTCGAAGAGTGTAGGAGAACGACAAACGTATTCGATTTGAATTGAATGATGAAGCGTTAATATTGATAAAATATAGATGTTCGAGCAATTACTAATGAGTTAATTATTACGTTTCAGATTTATTTAACAAAAAGGTGAAAAAGCCAGCCCAAAAGAATAACTTTCAAGATTCATTGCTAAATTTTAACGAACAAATGAAGAATATACAGAATATTTTGGAACTTCAGAATAAATTTGGTGTAACGATCGAGCAGAAAAATGGTCAGAGGAAGCTTGACGGCCGACCAGCTGGATCCAATGGACCTCAGCCTGGACCGGGTTGTGAAATATTTGTTGGAAAAATACCCAGAAATATTTACGAAGATGTGATTTACCCAATTTTTAGACAAGTTGGGGACATATACGAAATAAGGCTTATGATGAATTTTTCCGGTAGTAATAGAGGATTTTGCTTCATCATGTACGAAAAGCCAGAAATGGCACAGAGAGCGATTAAAGAATTAAACAATTATCAAATTCGGCCTGGTTGGTTTATAGGAGTGGTAGAGAGTGTCAACAATTGTCGATTACATATAACGGATCTCCCTCCGCAGATCGATACAAAAACACTTATTAAGGTAAATTTTCCATTATCGTTGCATCGTTAAAACAGCTGTATTCGTATTAAATACGATTTGCAATTTATAACCTTTTTTTTTCTTCTTTTCAATCCCTCTTTTTTTTTATTTTTTACTTTTTATTATTACAGAAACTTTGGCCAGCTTGCGAGGGTATTGATAAAGTTTCAGTTTACACAAACATATATAATTTTCAGATAAAGCATGCTTTGATTTCATTTAAAACGCATCGAAGTGCCGCAATGGCTAGGAGAAGACTTCTACCGGAAAGAAATGTATTTTTTGATAAATCCGAAGTTAGGATCGAATGGGCGCACCCCAAAATTTCAGTAACAAATGTGGTAAGATTTCATTTTAATACGCGATTATTACAAACAATTTATGCAAGTATATTCGTACACAAAGTTACGCAATACTCGAGTTGAAATGCTGAACGAATAGAATGAATAGAAATTTACGAGTTTGCATTATTATTGTTATTGTTATGATTATGATTAAGCAATCGATTAAATTACGAATGACTTGTTAAAAGCACCAGGACATCAAAACATAATTAATACGGCAGTAAATTATTTATTGATTAAATAATTTATTGAAAAAGTGTTGCTGAAGTGAAAATAATCTAACATTTTGTGCTTTATATTTCTTACTTAACGCATACATATATTTTTATGTATTAGGTACAATGTATCTGGCTGATTATATATGCAAACTATCGATAATCAATGTACATTTCTATTTTATCTCGCTTAACATTGAATTCAAAACATTAATTTACCATAGTGTCAGTAATCAATCATCAACAATCGCAATGATCAATCTGATTTAATACATAATTTATATTGAAAAGGTATATAACTTTATAAAAATCTGCCAATATGACCATCCCATCCGCAACCTTATCTCATACTCTCATTAGCAATAACAATAAAAGTAAAGCAGAGCAATCTCGAGTAAAAAGAAAAAGAATGAAATATGCATTTGCCATTAAAGAGAGAACAAAGGAGCGTCAAGACACACGCAAAAGTACAAACAAACAACCATAAGATACGCGTCCGCCATGGAAGAACATAATGACAACTTGTGTTGTTGTGGTCGTCGTCGTAGTCGTCGTCGTCGTCGTCGTCGTCGTTGTCTCGCATAAAAATAGAACGTGGGTACTTTCGCTGAACATGGCGACGACGAGGATGGCTTTCCTCTCGGCTTTACGCGCATACTTATTGAGAACTTTCCGTTTAAGTTCCAACGGCATTTAATAGTTGGCGAGTCTTGTAGGCCAGCGCCGCGACCTTGTGATTCCCTCTTCGCGTCATTTTCACGTCTATCAGCCAAAGAAATCTAGCACACAAGATTATGATTAGAATAAAGAAGATATTTTACTCTCGTCAAACTCTTGACGCAACATGTCGAGTCGGACGATAATTTTAATTGACGCCGTGTAATGAAGTCCGTTTACAAATTATTTTCCCTTCGCTCCTTCAATTTTCATTTTTTAACTCTTCTCTATCTCTTATAATTTTAAGTTATTTACGAATTTGCTTTACGCCTTAAAGTCCCTATCAAATTTTGATTTTGAAAAGATTTTTCATTCTTCGACATTTTCCGAATTTATCAATACTTTTTTCAATTAATTTTACTCTACATCTTATCAACTTATTTAAGCATTGAAAACTTACTTTAATGACAGAGTATACGAAGTTTAAGCTGTTTCAATTTCATTTAAATGTATGTGCCTTTTTAAATTCTGTTGTAACAGTTGTAAAATAATATTTTTACCTTCAATAAGTTGAAAAATTTATCGAAAAATTCATTGTCAGTAATTAAAAATAAAATTCTCTTTGCTTAAAATACTATACACGTTAGTCGGGGCTTAAATTAGTTCATCCTATTTTATCCTGAAAATAATGTTTAGCGTTACACGATGAACGAGTGCGTTATATATATATATATATATATATATATATATATATTTCAATCTTGTAAAATTCATTCCAAAATTTGAAAATAACTGATAGTGAGTAGCAATTGTTGAAAAAGTGTTGTCTTTAATGCCTAATTCGAATACCCAATTTTACATTTAACTTTTTGCGCTTACACTTTAATCGAGCAATTGAGATTAAAAAAAAAACCCAAAATCATCTGAATCTAAATTGTTTAAAAGAATTTTTTTTAACAATATAAAGTTACTAGATTTCAGTAATTTAATTTGGTAAATATTTATAAGCACAGCGTAGAAAGTATATATGACATAAACCTCTTTCACGAATTATCTTTTACACTTTATCTTTATGAAAGGCGTATACGAACAACTTGCACACTTTTCATAAAATAGAACAAGTAAAAGCGATAATAGTGTATGGGACTGAAGGAATCGTTAGTCTGTTGTCCACGATAATTTTTACAATGTAATGTAAAAAAAATTATCATTGAGAAAGGAGCGCGCATGTTTCTTCAGAAAATGCAAAGAAATTGGAAAAGTATCTGTTGAATACCTTTTAATAGAAATTACCACTTAAAATATAAATAAAAAAAAATTATTTAAAAAATAACTATGTATTATGTATACATACTATTAATGATAATTTCTTACATATTCTTATATATATATATATATATATATATATATATATATGTATATATATATATAAATTTTAATTTAGGAGTTTCTTAATCCGGAAATAAATAGTATAATTATTAACATTTTCCTTTAACGTTAAACATTTTAATTTATTATAGAATGAATTTGAAAAAGAATCATTGGCATTTGCACAAACAAATATTGTTGCACATATATAAACTTTTTTTATATAAATTTCGATGTTTGAATAATATCATTAAAAATTAAAGAAAGGAATAAATTTTAATAATTACAAAAAATCTTTCAACCATAAAAATCGGTAGTACTTATTTTCCACGTCGAATTTACTAAATGTTACTCGACATTAAATTTTTAAACGTGTCAATTGTCCAGATTCGTCGAGTTGAATGTACGCGAAGATCCGTCGACAGATGTCGACACTTGAAATGTAGAACTGTGTGCATAGTACATGTGATCAGCTGATGCGAGTTAGTTCAGTTTTTAGTGAATTGGTAAATTCATTTTTCAATCTCTCGGTCTTATATTAATATTTATTTATAATCATAATGGAAGGGGAGTACAACGAGTATATTGACTATAGAAGCCCATTATCTACTCGATATGCTTCGAAAGAGATGCGTTTTAACTTTAGTGATCAGAAGAAGTTCAGCACATGGCGCAAATTGTGGATTTACTTGGCTAAAGCTGAAATGGTTCGTTAAATTCAATAATTACATACTCTTATATTAATTTTCGCAATTAATTTATAAATTTCCCGCATAAAGTCGTATATCCACGATCACTGATCTCGATTAGCTTATTCCAACATAAATATCAATATAAGTGATATTTGTAACTCGACCCCCCACCCCCATCCCCCGCTAGGAGTTCCGTAACTATAATTTATTCAATGTCATCTTTGAGTTGCTTTTATTCATCGAGACGTTTTGCTTTTAGCAAAAGCCCGAATTGTTTATGGTAAAAAATTAAAAATCTATACACAGTGTAAAAATTGCATGCTTTCAAATTAAATTTTTAAGAAATTGTTTGCCTTCGTAAAACCGTCTCAACGTATTATAATTAATTATATCGTATTGTAATTATTCATTAATAAATTTAACCGTAGTATTTATATATGTATATATATATATATATATATATATATATATATATATATGTTAATGTTAATATTAATATTATTACAAATTGAAATAATATTATCGTGACATTGGCTTAAGATCTTATCTGTAATGTGAAGGAATCAAAGATTATCTCCATTGATATAATCTATAATATATTCGCCATGTCACCAAACATCACATATATAATGCATAAAGGCCTAAGTAGAATCTATGAGTATATGATTGGCTTGGTACGATCAGGTAATGAATTATCAATAAGAATAAGATAAGACTAGTTTATAATTATGATATTATATCGAACGTAATGGATTCATAAATAGCCCCGTTCTTAATTAACTTTACCTTTTCAAAATTATGTATAAATCAAATTAATTTAATCTGAAAATGTTTGTGTATGTAAAAAAAATATTGACTATAGAGTAGAAATTTATAAAGTTATAAAGTTATATTTTAAAGCATAATAATTTATATATATATATATATATAATACAACTTCAATATTTTAATATTAAATATTGTTTAATATTATTTTAATATTTTTGTTTAAAGATAGAAGAGAGTGGTCTTTGCGATAGCAATAACGATGTTATTATAACTAAACAGATAATTAAAAATGACAAGAGAAATTTGAAATTGGAAAATCCAACCAAAGGTACTTTTAAGAATAAGCGTTTATTACAAATGGATTCAAACAGATCAAACAGATTACTTTGTAATATAGATATAGCTAATAATAACAAAAACGAATACGTAACACAATTTTTTGATAAATTTAAATATTCGGAGAATCCCGAGGAGCCTCTTTTGAATATTTCCAAAAATTCTTATGACACTAGAAATTTGTGTTCTTATGGCCAAGCGCCTCCGTATTACATTAATTCGCCGACAATTTTGAATGCTGCAAATTGTTCCGTTGTACGATATCCTTGGTTAAACGATGAAATTCATTGGAAGAAAGTGTCGTCTATGCAAAACAAAAAAGATTCCATGTACACAGCTCCCACTTTTATAAACAATGATAATTTTTATAATGTCAAGAACGTTAAACCATTGCTAGCAAGACCAATTCTGAATTATTCTAGTTTTGTATCAAATCAGTATAGGCCTTTATAAAGGATTGCTTATCATTATATTTTTATGTATCTTTATTACGATGTAGTTAAATTCTCTGATTAAATAATAATGAAATTGATAAATTTTATTTTTAAACTCAAATATTGAGTTTTCTATAAGCAAGTTTTACTTTAAAACATTGATAATTATGTTTGTTTCAATTTTTAAGTAATCATGATCTATGCATGCAGACAATTTTTTTTTGATGTTACATTTAAAACCAACGTGCGTTATATATTATTAGCATGTAACTTTTATTACGAGACTATTAATAAACAATATAAATAAATCAATATTTTATATGCTTGAATCATAAGTGTAGGAATTTTTGTTAATGAACAGTATTGAATAGATTTTTACTCTTATCACGATAAAGTAATTTTCTTCATAATATTTTTAATACATTTCATTACGTATCATTAAATTATGTGGATAGAAATCATTTTAAGTACATTATAATTTTTGTACGTTGTCATTTTTATTAGAAATATGTTAAATTACATAAATGCAATTATATATCTGTTCCGTCATTGATGATGATCGTTAACCATTGTACACCGTTTTGTTTATATAAAAATCTGTTTCTTAAATTATCTAATTTCTGCGTTTTTTTTTTTTTTTATAATTAATAAATGTGTTTCAATATTCTTATTTCATCATTGTTAATTTAATAAACATTTTTTATAGTAAAAAAATAGTATTATTTTTTACCATATTACATACAGTGTAACGAGTACTAGAATTCAATGATAAATAGTACTTTATAATGGAATCTGACAATTGACTATTAAAAAGTTATTTATAAAAATATAAAGTATTAACAGAAATAAATTGAATTTTTATGTTAGATAATAACAATATGATATCCATTTTCGAATATCTATTTATTAAATTAGTGAGCTAAAGTAACTACAATATTCATTAAAGTTCGAAAATACGAATGGCTTTCTTCTAATAAGCTGCGCGTATCTATTGTATTAAAATTGAATACAAGAATACTCACGTTGAGAAGAAAACGTGTCAATTTAAGAAATCCAAAGCCAAGCATCTCACCTTTTTATAATTCATACTTTTATAATTTATTTTGTTTTTACAAGAGCGATTAGTTCGCGATTACATGATATCTTTTCGACGATAATTGTGTGAAACGCAGTATTGGGCAATTTGCACGCTACCAACGCAATATACGAAGAATGGAAACAAAAAATCTCGAGTTTCGAACAATGCGGCAAGGATAGAAAAATTACGGCACGACGAAGGGTCCTAAATATTTCAGAGCTCATCGCGGATGTAAGAGGAGATAATCACCTTGGTTGCGAGGTTCCGGCAATGAGAACCACGCGATGAGACTTACGTGTACCAGGTGATGTGTGACGTCGGTGTGGGTAGGGCCGTCGAGGAGAAGACCTTCGCCCGGCGCAATTAGGTCGTACATTTGAATTTGTATTAGTATGAATGAATGTATGTGTGTCATTGTGCTAGCTTGTAATTGTAAATTCGGGGATTATATTTCTCATTTGAAATTTAAATATCGTCGAATATTATGTAGACACTGACGTATCATTACCATTTACGTTAATTTACGGTCAATTTACTGCTGCTATTTTGTTTGGAATATACAGTTCAATGCCGAATATTTTTTGGGCCTGTAGAAATGCATTTGTAATCGTATTGTAAATTTAGTTGTAAATAGTAAGCTATTTATAAAATTATTCTGTATATTAATATAATTTTTTAACATTCATGCGGATAATTGAATAGCTATTTTTAGTCTTATATAAGCATTTAATTGCATTTTGATATAAAATAAAGATGATATAACAAAAATATAATATGTAAATATAAATATTATTTTTTCTTTTTGCTTCAGTTATAAATCACTTCTTTTATCATCCGACTACAGTGACATTTTTTGTGTTAACTCTTATGAGACGCATTGTAGTTCTTTGTTCTCCTTTCGTTACATTGCACAATGTTTAAAGTATATCAATGCATCAATAACTTTTCGTATTATGTACATTAATTTTAATATTCAAATTGTTGCCATATTATGTTAATAAATTATATTTAAATATATTTTATTTTTACTATTCGAGCCAAAGATAAATATTCTTTTTCATCACATGCCCTGTAAAATTAAATATTATATAGAGTATCATTTTCATATAACGGAGATGTGGTTTTGTTAAATAATTAAATTTATATTTACTTACAACGAAGGCCAACATTAGTAGCGATTCAATTCTAAAAGTCTTTCCATTATTATTAGCATTGATTGCATTTAATAACCGTAAAAAAAAATGAGTATTATGTCTATAAGGAAAAGCAATGCACATCCTGTAGAGACTACTATTGCCGTATATACGTATGTCATCTCTAATATATTATTCGTCTTTGCAAAATATAAGATAATATTTATATAAAAAAAAAACAATAAGCCCAGCAGTCCGATTAAAAACATCTGATGGTAAGAATATTGAATGTCAATAATTACATATTAATTTGTTGGCAATTAAGAGAATATATTTGACGTTATTTCTAATAAATTGTAAATTTTTTCTTTTTTCTTTCTTTTCTTTTTTTAACGAATAAAATACTTGTATATTGATAATACATTATAAGAATTTATAAATTGATATTATTATATTATTATTGATATTAAATTATTAAATTATAACAATGATTATACGAGATAACATTTTTTTAATGAAACCATTTTTATTTATAATAAAAGAAAGTGAAAAGGTAATTATAGATATTAACCTTAAACGCTATTAAATATTTACTTTCTACACAATTTGCTACATCGTTTCATTTTATTAATCACATTTTTTATTTCGAATTTCAAATATAAAATAGTTTTTCAAATAGAAATATAATTGATTTCCAGTACTTAATTTTCAGAAATTCATAAAATTAAATAAATTTGATAATATTAGTCTCCAGCTAACTCAATATACTCTCATAATAAATATATTTTTTCTCATTTGCGGACTAACCGGTGTATCTGGAATTGGATCACCACCACACTGACTTATAATATCCACTAGGATAAAGACAAGAAAACCAAAAATCAAAGATGTCATTATTAATCCTTCATTACTATCGTTAGGTACTTTATCCTTATAAAGAATATAAAATGCCAAGCCAAACAACACAGATATCAGGATCTTTTTTCGTTTAGTAAAAATATATTATTTTAATTAAAACATAAAATTTAATAAACAATTTTTTCATATATGAGATATTACAAATTGAAATATTCTTATAGGCTTAATGAAAGGTACACTGCTATTAGTGGAACACTTTTGAATCGGTGTTGCATACATAGGTCCAATCATTTCTTCTTTTATTTGGTGTCTTTATATTATTTTGAATGTGTTTTAGGTTAATGTAACGCTTAATTATGCGACGACAAAAATTTACAACAAGAATTTCAGTTGTCCGACGGTTTCGTTTTAACAAGGAAATAAAACGTAAAGATGAGTTATTTTTATTTCTTGAACACTATTTTTGTACATACACGTATCAATTGCGAAATCGTTATCGGACTTTAAAAAAATGATATACTTATTTCAATTTCTACATTTTTGAAAATACACACGTATACACATGCGCGTGTGTGTATGTATGTTTATTTATAGCTCATCTAATATATATATATATATATATATATATATATATGTATGCATGGATGTTTAAATTTATTTCAAAATATTTCTACATATTTATATTTATGTTTAACATGTATAAGGATTTTAAAGAAGATGAATAATATAATTCTCTTACGTAACTGCTAATAAAATTACAATATATATTAAATATATATAATTTATCTCAGAAAACATAATAATAAGCTAGAACTTAAAAAAATAAAAATACTTTCAGAAAATTATTGTTATACGACGAACACTAACAGGCGATTCATTATATTTTCACTTACATACTATATGTATATGCGTGTGTGTGCGCGCGCGTGTGTGTCGATTGATCGATAATATGGACGGAATTGAATTAATTACAAAGGTCCAAATTATGGACGAAGACTTTTTTTCATTATAAACAGGACGGATTGTGTTCTCAAATACAATGATATATCCACTCTCGTACGCACATTGCATAAATTGAGAAAAATATTTTTGACGAGCAGGATTTTTTATATTTTGTAGTATATATATATATATAGCATACATAAAACTATTGAAATTTATAGGATAAAATTATACATTCATAAATATTGTAATGTTGTATAATAATATTTATAGTTTAAAGAAAGTCTTACAAATTATATATTATGTAACAGCGCCGCTAGGATTTCTTTTAGCGCCATATCGAATTTATCCTCTAATCATTGATTATTTTTCTCTATTTACGATAGTAAATAAAAGCGAAAAAAAAACTATAAATTCAGTTTTAATTGTATCTGAAATGATAAAGCGTTTTCTATATTTAAGGCTCGACTTTGGAATTTCAATAATATGTTACAATAGTAAAATTTTGCTACCGATACAGTTTTCGGTAAATAATCGAACAATTTGAAATGTAATTGGAAGGACGAAATCTGATATTATTTAAGTCATTGTGTTACTATGTGTATAAATGTTTAAATTCTATAGAACTGAATGCATTGAGTTGTACTGCGTCGCTAAAATTTGAAAGTCGATATTATCCATCGGTGAATTTAAATACAAATTTTCAAATAAAGCATCTGATGAGTTACTATCTACCGGGTGAGACTGTTAGCCATAAATTAAAGTAAACTAATTGTCGGTAACGTACGAAAGGTACGACGTGTCGGATAAATTCATGATTATCGTCACAATTATTGTAGAACGGTCAAGCAATCAGAGTCATAATTGTCGAATTATTGAAATTGTCCTCTTGTATTACATATAACGCGCAGCATTCTCTTCCTCGATTGTTCTGAAAAAAGTTCTGCATACGCTCGCGTGTGCTTGAGCACCTTTCATATAATATTAGCTAATGGCGTCGAGAGCGAGATAATTAAATGAAGAGGAGAAAGATGGTGGGTCGCCTCTTAGAAGTATTTAATTGTAAAGAAGACGTCGACGGCGAAGACGAGGGCGTCGACGAAGGTGAAGAAGGCCCCGGCTATCAGCATATCCGCGTATTGCTTGCTCGCGTACGTATTGTTATTGTAGACGTAAGCGTAGTTGCTGTGAAGTTTTCTCCAGTTGTGGATAACGACACTGCCGGCGACAATGTGGAGTATCGTTCCGGTCGCTGAGAATAGCACAGACTGCAAGCAGAGCATCTTTTTATTATTAACGTGTTACGGTTAATTTGAAGCCTGTCATTATTGCCTTATCAGTGGCTTAATTTCAAATTTCGTTTTCGAAATAATGGATAATAATAGTTTAAAAATTCTATTATGTACTTTTATAAATTTTCTACTGGTTGGCGTAACGTACTACTTCATACAATCTAACTACCTTTTGAAATATAAACTGAAAACTTGAAATTCTATTTTGTAAATGTTAAGTAGTTGTATGCTGTAATAGTTCATTTTGTTCTCTCCTACCAGTCGAGCAACGGACAGTATAATGCTTGTTAAGATTTATATCCGTGACTTGCTATATTTGCTTGAAATATGAATATTTTATATCACGACGTTTAAATTATATGCATTTATGAAATATTTCTAAAAAATCATGCCATTTATTGTATTTTAATTTTGAATTGTATTAAACAAATTTTTTATCAAATTACATTTTACCGCTCATTGTCTTGATTATAAGACGTTTGTTAAATTTTATTTTAATTTCTTCAGATTTTTATATTTCATAATTTAACTTGAATATTTTTTTAGTTTTAGTAGAAATAAATTTTATGGCGATAAAATGATACAGTTAGACGTGTTATATCTAAATGTAGTTTATTATTAATTATAATTATTATTTTCATTACAAATTAGTGAAAAATAGAGAACATAAAGTTTTTATTATTATTAATATGATTGTATGGATATTGCAGTAATACTAGAAATGCATGTTTAAATATGCAAAAAAGTTAATTATTAATATTATCTAGACATTTTTTTTATTCATTAGGATTTAAGAATATAGTTTATTATATATTTCAGAACAATGAAAAAGTTATTTCTTTTACTGAATTTAATTTTGCATTTTACGAAAAATATCTTATGCTTTATATCAAAATCAACATTTTTCTTTTTCTTTAAATTAAATTAAATCCTGTAAGCGAAGGGAAATAATGGAAAATTGCACGTTAACTAGATTCCTTTTTCACCTTTTAATTTTTCCGTTAGGTTTTCGATAAAGATTTTATGTTACGCCTCGTTTGCGTGCAATTATTGATAATTGGCTTATAGTATAAAGACTTAACAGCTATAAGATTATATACCATTTATTAATATTACGAGTATTATTTATTCGTTAATATATATTTTTCTATGGTATACTTTTGATATTATGAATTCAATGATTCCAAAGTATTGTTCATTGTTATTAATATCGATTACTGTACAAACGTTTAAAAAATTAATTATTCTAGAGTACCTTAATTACTGAAGTGGTTAATAAACATAAAAATATTACAATTATATTTAAATTGAATATATAATATTAGTGGTATTCATAATTTTGTAAGTTCACATGTACATTATTTAGTGAAAAGTAGAATTTCGTCCTTGTGTTATTGCATAATGACACATATGGCACATAATGTTTATTCCTCTGGTAATGCATGTACGAATATTCATTCATTGTAATTTTATTACAATAGCGTACAGATCTGCTAAAAAGCTAATTTTTCGTTTTGTGTTAAATTTTTGTATTATTAAGAGAATTTAATGCTTATTTGTTGTAATTATGAAATTAAAGGGCCATAATTAATGCCACGACGAAGGCAATTAATTAATTGAACATGACATATTTATTTTCTAGTTAAATGATCTTCAATTCTCAATTATGTCACTTTACGTTTTAACACGAATTCTTAATATTTTGAGAATTAAAAATTAGTTGAAACCTTGTTTGCAGTTAACCCTGTGCCAAAAATATCGTGTAACAGAGAAAAAAAGTACAGAATATAGATTTCAACATTAAGGTGATGAATTACCGTTCTCTTGGGCATCCGGTCACCGAACATATGTCCAATGATCAATATGGTATTGATCAGAATGAAGCCCGCGACTGTCACGTAAATTATGGCGATGTCATCAATTTTCGGTTTCGGCTGGTACAAGAAGATTCGGTGAAATGAATTGAACGGATCGACGACAAGACCAACCGCGAATATGGATACAACCTGTAACAAAGGATAATTTTCGCGATAATGATTATTCTAATCAACGATGATAATTGCTGTATTCTTTTATGAAGTAAATTTATTTTAGAATGACATAAAATTAATTTACTTTTATTTCTAAAATATTTTTATTGAATAATTGCGTTATACTTAAAATAGCTTTATCACTTATTTTACATATAAAATATCATTATCGCGGATTTTATCGGTAATAATTCATACATCGTTAATTCCCAAGATATACAAATTTATGCTACAATCTGTATTTTTAATGATTCAACTACTTTAGACGATTACTTCTTACGAAGTATTAATACGTTAAGGAATTCGATAATCGATAACATTATAAATTTAATTAATTTCATTATATTCCATTTATTCATATTATTTTATAGAAATTAATTGGATTATATTACGCATATTTTAAAATAACTATTAGATAATTATTTTTAGAATGTATATTACATTTTATGTAAAGTACACAAACTTAATTTATATTTTATGATTCTGGCAATTTAAACTATTAATAATATTCTACTTGAACGTTGCTTTAATGGCAGCTATTCCATTTACGAGCTGCTTTTAATATTGTTTTTATGGCGAAATAATGATTTTAATAAACATTTATATACTACATTTACGATAGTTATTTTTAATAAAGGACCGCTATAATGTATAAGGAAATACATTTTTTTCTCAACTTGCAGTATTACCGCTTCTATTACCGAAGCCTAGAGTATTTTCGAAACATTTATTAAAATTGTTTAGAAAATTTTTTTGTATAAAATAGTATAAAATATATGAGATTGCTTAATGAAATTGATAAATACAAAAAAAAAAAAATACAAAAAAAATACAATAAAAAAGTAGATAAAGTGCTTGAAGTTGCAATAATTATATTGTTAAAGAATGAGTATGGTTGTCGTGAAAACAGTTTACTTATGAAAGTGGCACGCCAGTTCTGTGTGATAGTTTATTTCCAACTACACGGCATTATGTTAACAATACTTCAATTCTACTTATAGACATGTAAGTAATCAAGAAATTATGCATTAACCCTGCGCCACATTTCAACATAAATATCGGTCATCGGTAGTGCCTGGTTGTTTCCTTTACTTACAACGTTTGAATGTTGGTGCATCAAGTATAAAATAAAAAGTATGCTGATTAATCTCGAATACATTAGCTTTACAATGATATGTTCTAGAATTGTATACGATGTATAATTAAAATTATTCGAGATTATTGTAAACAGTTTAATGATAATTTCGTTTTATAATTAAATAACAACGGTTCGATAATATAAGGGGGTGTGGGGTGGGGACGAAATATAAACGCAATTTAAAATACGAGAATCATTAGAATGCGAAAGTAAATAATTGTGATAATAAAATTTTTTATCGTTGAGTAATTTCTTTGCGTCGATATAATATTACCACTTTATATCTAGTTGATTTTAAAATACTAGAAAATTTACGGATAAATCTTCTTTCTTTTTAAGCCATAACTGCTCCAACTATTTTCTCTAAAATAGTTTAAAGATAGTCGAGAATATTTCTTTGTGGATGAATGTATTTCTTTATATAAATTGAATACATAATTTGAATTATAACGCTATAATATATTATTATATTATTAGAATAACATTATTATTAAAAAGTGTACTTAACTATATTATTTTATTTCCAATGCATTTTCTTAAAAATAGAAACAAATTTTTCTGGACTTTTATATATTAATAATAGAAAACCTTAATATTTTATAAATTTACTAAATGAATATTAAGTACTTTTATGTTTTTTAAACGCAATTATTAGTTAAGTACAACAAATAGAGTCTAATTTATAAAATATATATAATTTATCATTTTATATCCATGAATACCTTAATTAATTAAATAATTGGTTTAATTAAATTAATTAAAATTTAGTCGTGTAATTAATTTCAGGATTTATAAAGATTGTGAATCGCAAGCGTCGTATAAGATCTTCTTTTTCTTCACAGTTTGGTCTCTATTAAATTTTCCATTAGCCTACTTCGACGATATTTGTGTGATTGTGTCGCTTTTTATTTATTTACGCTGTGCTGGTAGATTTTCGACGAAACTTTTAATAATTAAGTTATTGTCTTTCATTAGGTGAACAATCTGTTGGTTCATTAATTTTTAGAAAATTACTGACTGCAAAACATCTTTTTAATCAAATTATCGGCTACGTCTATGAAATAAAAATTTTATTTCGTTTATTTCTATATTAATAAATTATAGTTTATACAGAAAGATTTAAAATTTGTGTTATAAAAAAAAGGATTAAAATATTAACGTTATTTAAGGAAAACAAAAACAAATGAACACTTAATGTTTGTTAATGCAATAATAATAATAAATGAATGTTAGAAATTGAAATAAAGATTTATTTAAATGATTTCCTACTTTTCTTTCCACTTTAGAGTACATTTGCAACAAGTAAGGTTTAATATTAAAATCAACGGAGTTATGTAAAAGAAATAAATTAGAAATTAAACATTATTAAAAATTTAATTACTTCCAACGGAGTATCTGTTCTTAGAGACAGCATCTTACATACAGTTCCGACCGATGTTGTGGAAGTATAATTGTACGCGTTACTTTGACACACATACATTAGGAATTATCACATGTAGCTCAAGATGAATATGCAATTAAAATGCCATTAGGAGGCAACGCGATGAATATTGTAAATAATTTAAATATATGTGTACGGTCAGCAGCGATAAATTTCGAAATTAAGTAACTTTTAGTTAGTGATTTTTAATTTTATATTATATAATGGAGACGCATATTTTGATAAAATAATAGCATTGTCTGTAATAAATGAGAGGAGATTTTCAATCGGGGGGAAAGATAAACATACAAACGTAAAGAGGCGAATGGTGTGATGTTGATGATGATGTGATGCGAAAGAAGTGTCTGATGTTCGTTGTATTCTGCCGAGCTCTCATGACTTTAATTCGAATGTTTTTGAATTCTATGACATTATTCATTGCAATATTAAGGGATTAAACTTTACTATTCAATTAAAATTTTTTTTTTTTTTATCAATTTTTATAGCAATGACGTTAATGCAATCTTTAAATATCAGATACTTACTCGACGTTAAATAAGTAATATTAAATATTATTTACAAGAAGAAATATGGGCTTGGTGACTTTGGATCTAATTTCGATAGTACTGCATTTTTACGTATTAAGATATTAACTCAGAAACTATGTTGATCCATTGAAATTGTTAATTACCATCTTATACGAATAATAGTTATTTAACACTAGGAATGCCCAATGAATGGAGTCTGAAACTTTGATTCTTAATATTCGTACAAACTCAAATTTGTATGTATTTTTTTTTTTTTTGTTTATAGATAAGATCAATTTCAAGGATTTTTCAATTAATATTAATGTGTAGACTGTCGGCAATGCCGACATTTAAGAGTTAATTCAATCGTGCAGTGCTAAGGCCACATCTATCGGTAATATGATTCATGCTTTATGCTTTTGATGAATATCTATGACTCAAAGATGACAGAAGCAGCATGCCATGCATTCTGGACTAAACTGGAGTTAGAAAAAATAACGATAAGCAACAATAAAGATAAAAACGAACTATAATTAACTATTGGATAAAAATAAAAGATTAAACGAATGTAAACTCCGCGGCGATTTATCGGCAAAGTCCCCAGCTCCCGGCAATCCGGTAAATCCCGAGTGATGAACGATGCGTGCAAATATATCTCACCACTTCGATGACTTTCAGTAATATCGACTTTGAGCTGACAACGTCGACATCGAGTTCCTTGGCGACGTGCGAGTTCTGCATTACGCCCTCGTCCGCCATCCTGACTCGCTTGTGCTTTCCTCGCCTGTCGCCCAGCTTGACTGACTTCTCGGTGTCCTGTGCCGCCGCCGTTTGTTCCGCCGCTATTACGTGCCCACGACAATCGTCCCCTCCAGCAGCCGGCTAATGCTCTTTTAACGGAGCTTCAGGGCCGCTCGCGTAGATGCTCCCCGTAACACACGTGTGCGCGGCAAGCGATCCGGCACGGCTGGAAATGGAAAATTCAGCTGCTTAATTTGGTGGAGAGGGGCGAGCGCGCGCTCCGGCAATGGCCGAGCTATTGTTGTTGCTGCGGCCTCACTCGATCCCGGGAAAGCGATAAGACTGCCGAGCGCCGGATTCCTGTGCCTCGTTTTTGCTTTCGTTCGGCTTCTAACTATCGTGCGAGCCTCTATTTTTTTTTTCTTTTCGTCGGGTCATTCAGCTGCCTGTTCCGCTCTTGGACGCGCACCGTGCCGGCATTCTTTCTTTTCTTGGAGTTTCTATTGCGCCGCGTTGTTCCCGATATTTACTTGGAACGCGAAGTTTGGTGAGATGGTGTGCAATCTCTAATTGCCATGATTTATGCCATTATGTAGAAATCACGATGGTGGATGGCACGGGGGGGGGCGGACGAGGAGTTTTTGTGTCAGAATGTAATGGAAGAAGGGCCCGTAGTTTGCTATGCTTTGCAAATCCAATTTACGAGGAAATCTAGCCTGTGGAGGGAAAATTTATTCCACATCATCATGTTTCGTATCTTGCGGTTTTGCTATTGGCAAAGAACTGCATCTCTCTTCGTTAAGAATTTTCGATAATATTGGTAGAGTGGCACGAAATGACGAAACGGTAATTATTTAGGTTTCAGCTACGCGATTAAATTGTTATTTAACATCCAATACACACAATGCCAAGAATAAATATGCTTATTTGTGATTAAAAGTTTTTGTTTTTTGTTTTTATGCTTTATGACAACATTAATCGGCATTAATAATAATTAATTTATAATTATGTGCATTGAATAGGATAAACGGAGACGATAAGTAGCGCTGTATTACTAATGTTTAATTTAACTTGTAACAAGGGCAAACGACTCGGTACTCTAACGCTACTATGATAAGACGTTACAGAGTAGAAAACCGCTACGTCCTGACGTCACCGAGTGGAATGTAAATCGCTTGAGCGATGAAAATTTTCTTTATAAACAAACGGTAAAGGCAGCGTCAATCCTCACTCATAAATAATACACATTAAATTTGTCATTCGGTTTCGAATTCAAGATACACGCAATCATGGTTTTCGCCACCTCCGATCTCACTCCACTCGCATTCATACACGCCTCAAACATCCTTAACACACGGTTTTTATCGACCCACCGACGACTCCACGCATTAAACAGCTACGCGAAAATCTCATTGCTCAAACACACGAGACTTCATTTGGCACTACTCAATCTTTAAATCACCAAATTTCCTTGCATTGCCTTCGAACGGAGAGCTGCGCAACTCGATCATTTACCTAAGTTTTCCGTTTAAAAAATCGCCAGAAAAAGTGGAACGACATACTCGTGCCCTACCTCCAACATCCTTTCCTTACCCACACGAGCTAAGATTCATAATACCCGTAGCATGTGAGCGCGACACCTACAAACTCTCGTGACGTTCTCGCGCCACAATGCCAATGTCAGGTATCACACTCGAAGGCGGAAGTTGATTCGGCAACTACGCGCATAACATTGGGGCGCAGCATCCGAAGCCCTAGAGAGCCGTCCAGGTACCGGCTAGCTAGGCTGGAGCGAACCGCTGATCTCGCGTCACGATTCACAAGACCCCCCGGAGAAAAAAGGGGCCCGAGGCGGCGTGCTTCACTCGCCGCTTGGAAAGTGCACGAGGAGCTCGATCCCGATGGGAACCACTGGCCGGAGAGGAAAGACCGTCCGCGTACTCCCGGAATAACTGTTCAATAATTATTACTACCTGTCCGGGAAAGTAGTGGCGCGCGAGGCCGCTTATATCGCTATTGTACTTTCTTTTTATAACCTTGCGCCGCGTGGATGCATTTTCCTGCTTTCAAGCGCTGGCTCGTTGCTCCACGCCGCCGTTTCGCTCGAGCGGACGACGGGCTGCCAGAGTGCTTTACGAATTTTTTTCCGTATTTCGGAAGGCGAACTTCTTCGCCCCCTTCGGCTCCCACAGCCTGACATGAAAATTCGGGGATTAGGATAACGCGCGCATCCAACGAAAGGCTCTCGATCAAAGTGTCTCATCGACGCGCAATCGCTTTCGAGCCCCGCGACCCCCCTGGAGTAATAATGTTTAAAGCTCGCTCGGCTTTATTTCGATCCTTCTCGCGCGGGTCCCTTTCGTAAGCTTCCCCGTCCCAATAATCCGAATAACCCAAACTTGCCCTCCGTACTCCTGATCCCTTCAACTATATTCTCGTACGCCTCTATTTCGACAGAACAATCGTGCACGACCGGGCGCGCGCAATATTCATATCGAACATCCACGTGCTACGTATTCGTCGCATCACCGCCATGGTGGGCGTAAGGACGCGAGCGAGAAGGGGAGAGACGGGATCGTTGGAGCCGGTCGCCGATATCGGCGAATGGCGTCCTCAGTCATCGTCAGGCACTTTGCACACCAGCGTCCGTCGGCCCGAGGCGTGGCCGCGCGACGTAACAAACTCGCGCAATGCAAGGACATGTTCGCACCTACGCTCGCTCCCAACGGTCCTTGTCGTCTACCTTCTCCACCTCCGTCTCCTCCACCACCACCGCCACCACCTCCTCGCCCTCGTTGTCTCAGTCGTAGCTATCGACCCTGCCGTCCTCGTCGTCGACGCGGTCTTCACTGTTCTCGACGTAGCCGATAAATCGCGCGCACGCACCGTCGCACGGCTTGGCTCGAACTGCGAACGCGAGCGGCCGCGGACGCGTCGTCCACCAGGTCTCGTCCCGTACGTGGGTATTCCTCACGGTGTGGGGAGCGCGCGCGCAACTTCTCCGACCCGCTCGTGCACCTCGCCCCTCTCGCTCGTTCATGCGCTCGGCCGTTGCTGCCATCGCAGCTGCCAACACCACCACTACTACCACCACCACCATCACTACCACCACCGCCACCATCATTACCACCACCGCCACCACCGCCACCACCGCCACCAACGACACCAACGACACCACCGCCACTTCCACCGCCTCGAGTACAGGTACTGCACGACAGGACGAGAAAAGCATCCACCCCGAGGGCCAAGATGGGATGCTGCCGATGATGATCTATAATAAGGCTGTCTCGAACTTACCTGAGGATCGGCCTTCCGGCTTTGAGGCTGGCGGCGACTCGGGATTTAAAAGATATCGAGTAGGCGTGAAGGACACGATTTCTTTCTAATGCTTCCTCTTGCTGCTCCTTATCGCATTGGCGTATTGGTAATTTGCACGTTCGTTGGCGTTTTTTTGCATTGGCTGCTGTAGCCGTCGGTCGTGACACGAGAATGAAAGGAAGACAGCTTTTTGGATTCATATTTTATAATTATTTCGTATACCTCCTGCCCGACCAATTGCCGCTCAGTCCTGCACGGTCGATGTACCAAATTTTCTTTGCGTACCTTCGTTAATTATATGCTAAATGCCGTCCAATCACGCGATTGAATAATTTTATGAGGAAATTTTGGGCACGAAATGATTTATGAGTATATTGATGATATAGATGATGGATCTATTGTTGTAGGACGACAAATAGTGAATTTAATCGCAATCGTTGTTTATTGATTACTAATCGGCTTATCGTTGCTCGCAATCGCTTACCCGCTGCTTTGATTACCAATCATATATCGCAATTTTTTTTCAAAAAATTCTGCTCTCCGTCCGTAATGTTCTTTTCAATGATTCCAACGATTATATTCCCGTGGGGGATGGCTGCGAATCGATCGATAAAGCTGTTTTAATATAAGAAATATAGACTCCATTAATATTGGTGTAAAGTAAAAGTGATAAAATTACTTTTCATACGGTCTTCCGTGTAATAGAAGGTTATCCAATGATTACACGACATTTACTCTTAATCATCCATATTTAAGAATTCAGAACCTGTATTTTATCCGAGAAACCATGCACTATAAAATTTTTAGATAATCTTGAGCCTATGGTTATGTAATTTCTCGACATTTCAATACAATAAGCTCTTTTTTACCAAATATTTCTGGCATGATCGATGTTTGAATGTAAGAGAAATACATTGCGTTACGTCTTTTCACGTTGATAAGAAAGTCTAACACAACCATATTTCTGTGAATTTGCGGTTTCTAATGAGCCGTGGCAATGCATTAAAATCAATAAATTTATCACTCGGAGCCGAAAATCCCGTGTCGCACTCGTTCACTACATCAATTGAACTAGCGTCCCAAAAGCCCGTAATTGCCGTGAGCGAACTACATTGGAAAATCATAAAGAGAATATTATTAGTAGCGTAGAAGGGGCATTGCACGTACGATGTGCAGCCGTTTTCATGTCGACCGAGGGGAGTGGAAAAAGAGAAGGAAGAAGTTGGAGAACTTAGTGCACGTCCTCGGCCTCTATCCGCTGGAACGAATTGTGGCCATGTAATTGTATGGGAGGCACAGCATTACCCGTAATGCAGGGTGTACAAACATTGCGGGGGGGGGGGAGCAAAGCGTTTGCCATACGAGCTATCGAGCAAACGGATTCGAAGATTCGCGATTGTTGCATCCTCTCTCGAAGTCGCCGCCCATTACCGGATGGACACTAGCAAATATTACCGAAATTATTATTACCCGTAGCACCAATTATTAATTAGATGGTACACGAAGTCCCTCGGAGCGTTTGGCACTGCTTAAACGAGAATTAATCACCGCCGAGTCTGGAATTAACGAGTGGCTTGTATTGCGTCATTATCCGGACGAGGCGTCGTATCGCGGATATAAACAACGAGGTCATTATTGTAAGGGCTGGATTTTAATCTGATAATGAAAGAAGAGATATGTGAAAGTGTAGATCCGAGTAACGAGTGAGAATTATCTCGTGAAATTGTAGACCTAGAATAATGGCGCGGATAAGTAGCGTTAGCCTGCAAGAGCAACTTTGTAAATTTGACGGCGTCCTTTTTATCGAATCTAGATCGCGACGTTTGTTTGTAAAATTCAGGCTGCGTGTTTAGCGGAGGTAACGATTAAGCAGCGCTTGGCGAGTAAGTCGAGCATCGTCGGTGCGCAATAACAAACGAACGAAAAGTCGCAAAC